AGATATGTTGTCCACGTAAAGTGAATACTAAAACAAATCAACAAGCCATGCCTGGGCAACAGAAGCAGCAGGTTCTTCCACATGCATCAACGAATGCAGAGCGCACAAAAGAAACAGGATCAGTCTTAGCTGTAGCACATCAGAAGGGAATCAGTCTAAAAACCGCAGAGAAAGAAACCAGCAGTGATGTTGATATAAATACGATTTATAAACAACTGCGTGAGCAGTTTCCAAATCTGAAACAAGTGATGGAGAGAAGATTTCCTGGTGAGACTTTCCAGGAAGAACTGAATCTCAGGAAGGAGAACTTTGGAAAGATCCAACAGTCCTTCAGCCAAGTTTACAGAGTCAGGAAGCTGCTAGAACTGGGAAAATCAGTTTGCAAAATCAATTTTATAGGTGTTTGTGTGGGAACAGGCTTTGTGCTGTTTGACACTTTCATCCTGACTAGCGCACATTTGTTTAAAGGTTACGTTGAAGGAAAGGAGCTGCAGCAGGATGTAGAAGTGTTTGCTATTTTTGACTATGAGGAGCCTGAGCCAGAAGCAAATTTCTACTACTTTAGAGCAGAGAATACATTCATTGACTTTGATGCTGAGCTAGATTATGCAGTTCTGGAGCTCAACCCTGAAGGCTCAAAACCAAACCAGCAAAAGACAGCACAGAAGATAAAGGTCCCACGAGGGCTGCTCAGCAAGTTTGGTCCACTGCCTGATAATGGTGAAGCCTGCATCATTGGACACCCAGCAGGGCGAGTGAAAGAAATGGATCCTACATTTATCATTGAGATAGAGAAGAGAGAGCAGGCTGCTGCTGATTATTTAAGTCAGTACAAACACCCATTTATCATAAACTCGCTCAGTGATCATGTCAGAAAGCAAGGCATTGAAAACATATTGAAGGGTGGACATAAAGCAGGAAAAGTAGGGACCTACCACACTTTCATGTATCACGGTGCCTCTGGCTCTCCGGTGTTTGACGGTCTTGGCAGAGTTTTTGGTTTGCACACTGGAGGATTTACCTATGGTTTTACAAAAGAAGCTGAGAGTGTAATTGAGTATGCCCATCCTCTGATTATGATATTTGAAAAGTTTGTGAGTAATCTAAAGAACAGTGGAAATGAGGAATTGTTGAAAAAATTTGTGGAGGAGGCAGCAAAAGGAAAAAAAAAAGCAAAGAGAGACGAGTTGCTGACAAGGGTGCTCAACATAAAGCAGGAGGCTCCTGAGGAGCAAATGGAGGTCAGTTTTTCAGATTAGAAAATCCTTCAGCATAAGGGCAATATTTTATGCATTTAGTTTAAGTTGCATGTCTTTTATTACTTTTTGCTATTACGTTTCGATACATATTCTTTTTTCATTTGTTATTTTGATGTTGGAAAATACCAGTGATGGGAATAACGGCGTTACAAGTAACTTTTTTCAGTAACGAGTAATCTAACTAATTACTATTTCTATCGTTACAACGCCGTTAACGTTACTAACAAGAAAATGCGGTGCGGTCGCATTACTATTTTTCAACAGACGGCTGAAGCTGTGTTCAGCTTATGGCACGTAAGTAATCTGGGCGCTACAGCTTTAAGCAGCTGCGC